GTAGTTTTCCTTTTGGGTGATGTCTTTTCCTGGTTTTGGTATTAAGGTTATGCTTGCTTCATAAAATGAGTTAGGGAGGATTTCATCCTTTTCTATGTACCCTGCCACTTTTAAAAGCCTGCTTGGAAGAAATGATCCCCAGCACCTCATAATCAGATAGAAGAAACAACTGGCCCAACCAGCACCCTCCCAGGAGGATTCTCCTTTCAGCAGAGACCTAAACTTTCAGCCACAGGAAAGAAGCCCTAAATTAGCATTTCAGTTACCAGCCTTGTCATCTTCAGCAATTCCCAACTCAACATCAGGTCATCCTCTTAAGCACACTGACCCCACATCATTCTAGTTCTAGAAGCAGGAGTCCATGTTTTCTTGGAAAGATGTAATTTAGGCTAGCTACCTTGTGGCACCAATATCTACACAAGAAAGAGCTTGCCTTGTGAGCTCCACCCACTGACCATCCCAAGCTAAACCCATGAGCTCCAATGATGAGTCTCTTTCTCATTAGTCCCCCTTCCATCTGTGCCTTCCCCATGTGTTTCCTCTAGTGGTCACTTACTGGCTGCTGAGGTGATGATGTGGTGAGTCAGTCTCTGTGTAGAACAGTGAAGACTTGCCTTCACGCCAGGGTTCCAGGCCTGAAATGAGTCCACTACACCCAGTACCACCCAGATGTCATGCTCTCCTACAATGCCATTTGGGTCAGGAGTAAGTACGGTCAAATGGAGGTTTAGAGCAGGGAGATAATACAATTATTGTAATCTTTGCCAGGCTTGTAGTTGTTCAGGAACTATTGAGAGCTAGACATTCTTATGTATACACAAGAGTTGGATCTCTCTCTTAAGTTACTTGGACAATGTAGTGGCTCGGACCAATGTTTTCTCTGAGCCTAATAACTCCTCTCAGTACCAGGTAGCCTCAACCACATGGCTCCTCCTTACCCCCAAAGTTTGCTTATGGTGTGGTGACCACCACAGTCCCTCCAGCTAGTCACAGGGTGAGGTTAATATTTGAAAATGAAATCTTTTTTGTTCTCTATATTTTGTCAGGAACCTTGGAGTGATGGTGTGCTCCTCCCTGTGCGATGTGGGTGGAATCATCGCCCCCTTCCTTGTCTTCAGGCTGATGGAACTTTGGCAAGGCTTGCCTCTCATCTTGTTTGGTGAGTCTCCATGGGAGGTTTATTATCCTTGTTTCCAGCCTGACAGTGGGCACAGTGTTTGGCACAGATTAAGTACTCAGTAGCTCTGTGTTGAGTGAGTGACACCTACCATAAGCTTCCAGAAAGCAAGAATGGTGCTTGCTCTCAATGGTCCCATGGCTCATTCTGTCTTGTGGTGCTTTGTGGGAAAATAAGGTGCCTTCCTAGAAGGTGGACCAGAGATTTATGTCCCATGGCCTCAGGACCCAATAGTTCATCCAACAGGACAGAATCTGGGAACATTTATGGCTGAGTCCCCTGTTTTCTGTGAACTCGACTCCCAACTCTTGTCCATTTCACATGCAATTGCTGGAGACTTGAGGATGCTAAATTATCACCCTGCTCCTTCTAATGGATCTTACCCATTGGGAACAGATGGGAATCAAAGTACAGTATCAGCTTTATTGGTAATAAAGTTGGGTCAGAAGAGGAGAAGGGTCTCTTCTTCCTTCCCCAAAGTTAGACTTTGGGACCTCCAAGACTCCGCTTACCCCCTAAGTTAGAGGGATAATGGCTGACCTGTGCAAAGACTTGCTACATCTGGGCATAGCCAGTATGGACGGAGGGAGAAAAGGAGAGAGAGAGGAACCAGAGGGGCCAGCACTGCCCACAGGGGCGCTGGCTGTGCTCCAACACCGTGTGTCTCCTCTCTCTCTTTTCCTCTCGCTCTTGCCCTGTCCCTCTCGCTCTCCCACTCTCTACCTCATCCCTCTAATCTCATCTGTCTACCCACCCACCTACCCACCTTTTGGCCTACTTACTACCTACCTATCTGTCTATCTATCTATCCATCATCTATATGCCTAATTTCACCTATCTATCTATTGATCAATAGTCTTTTCATTGTGACTAGTCAGTATTCACTTTCATATTGTTCTTGAAGTAACTCAATTAACAAGTCCTCTTAACTTAAACATGAACTTAATTTAAACATTACTTGATAGCACCTGGTTTGGTTTTGCTATAGAACTTGATACTTTTATAGAAGCAAAATTATTATAGTATTTCCTCTTTCCACTCTGACATTTTCCCAATTATACTATTGCTTTAATGTTCTTTGCTTGATGGTCCATACAGCTGTATATATATGGTATATATATATATATATATATACACACACACACACACACTAACAATGTCTCCCACACCGGCTTGATCCAGGCGTCTCTTTAATTCGCTGTAATCACCCCCCATAGATGATACTGCCTTTGCTGTAATTACTCTATGTGCACTCTTTTCCCTTTGAAGCGGTGCTGGGCCTGGTGGCTGGAGGGGTGACGCTGCTGCTTCCAGAGACCAAGGGAAGGGCCTTGCCAGAGACCATCGAGGACGTCGAGAACTTCTGGAGGTGATGCCCCGGGGAGCTCAGGGACTCGGGGAGCCTAAAAAGCATCAAGGGGCCACCTCGCAGTTCACTTCCTCCCCGTTCAAGGTTTAGGAGAGCTCAACACATGCTATTTTATTCCTCCCTTAGCTCCTCCAAATGGAGGAGAATGCAATAGCAAAAGACTTTACACCGGGGTAGACTAACTAGTCCCTGTGAGTCGATTCTGAGGACCCCCTGTGTGCAGAGTAGAACTGTCCCCTGGGGCTTTCATGGCTCTGACCTTGCAGACGCAGATCTCCAGGGCTGTCTCCTGAGGCACCTGTAGGTGGGTTCAAACCAACAACCTTTCTGTTAGCTGCCTAGCACTTAACTGTCTGTGTCATGCAGGGACTCCTACGGAAAGAACAGAGGGTGTGGGTATGCATTTGTTAAGGACAATATTTTGTCCTGAACTCCTGGAGTAGAAAAGGATTTGTCCGGGATATTGACTGAAGGGTAAAGGGATCCCGAGGTCACCCTCAGAGAGTTAACAACACAGCATTGGGAATAATGTCCAGTCAGCCTTCTGCTCTTTTAGGAATTGTTGGGTCAAATTGTTTAGTTCAGATTCCTTACAAAGAGTGATGTAAAATTTTCATCCTTGCGACAGAGACCAGTGCTTTAGTGGGGGCTAAGATTTTACTCTTCAAACAATAACAAAAGAAAGAAAGGAAGTTCATGACCAGGTGATCACTTGGTCCCTTTGCAGTCCCAGTTCCATGATTCCACGATAATATGTGTCTCTGTAAGTGGAGAGCAAAGAGTTTGCAGAGTCGTAAAGACTTGGGTTCGAATCCTGATGTGGCCTCTCCTTGGTCTCAGGCCTTTGGGAGAGGTCTTTGAAATACAGGGACAATTCCCTCGCCTGAAACTTGCCATGATTATACTTAACTTTCAGAATTTCTGTGAAAATTCAAGGAGACAAAGTAGGGGATAGGGCCCAAGCCATTGCTTGGCACATAGTAGGTCTTCAATAAATATTAGAACATTTTTACTTTCACATGTTGTTGTTGTTGTTGTTATGTGCCGTTGAGTCGGACCCGACTCATAGCGACCCCTCCTTGGGTTTCCAAGACAGTATCACTACGGAAGTAGATTGCCCCATCTTCCTTCCGAGGAGTGGCCAGTGGGTTTGAACTGCTAGCCTTCTGGTTAGCAGTCAAGTGCCTTAGCCACTATGCTACCAGAGCTCCCCAACATATTGTATGATTTTCTCAATGGTTCTCAATTTTTAATGTGTACCCAGAATCACAGAGAGCTTGCGAAAATGCAGCTTCTTGGACCTTCTAGGTTTTTGACTTAATAAAGGGGAAGGGGGAGTCCCAGCAATCTGGACTTTTTTTTTTTTTTTTTTCCAAATTGTGCTCTAGATGCAAATTTACAGAGCAGAGTTTTGTTTTACATTCAACATTTCCTGTACATTTGGTTTCACTCCCCAATTACCACCCCAACCCTAACCCACTCTCCTCCCTTCCCGTCCCAGTACCTTGCCCCGTGCCCCTCATAGTTATGTACTCCTGTGTGTCCTGTATTTCCTCCATGAATGTTGACCCTCTGGTGCCCTGTGGTCAATTGCCCCAAGAGATGCATCTCCACAGAGTATGTGGGTGCATCACCCTAGGTTGAGTGGTCTGCATGTACATCTTGTTAACTATTGGGTGGGAGCCAGCCCCTGGGAGTGAGCTTTATTCCAGGCCTGAAGTGTGTCCTAGGGCCATAGTACTGGGGGTCCCAGCACACTCCATCTGACCAATAATTCTGCTCATTATTGTTTTTGGATTTTGTTCCACGTTTTTCTTCCCACTCTATCCAGAAGATCAGATGGGGGTCATTGAACAGGATTATACTCTACACCAAGGATAGATTCAGCTGAGGCTAATCTTGCACAATCTGCACTTTTAATAGCTCTGCAGACATTGCCCATGTAGGTGCTCTGCAACCCCCACTTTGAGAAATTCTGTATTGCTCAGCACTGATAAGGGACAAACCTCCCAGTTTACCTGTGAGCACTTTTTTTAGTTGTTGGGTATCGGCTTCCTTTTGGTATGAGGTGATAGAACTTATAGCTAATGTTGTGTTGCCTGATTTAAAAATGCTTCATTTTGATTTGCTCATTGGCTTTGGTCATCATCTGGGATGTTCTAGTTTGATCCCTCCTCTGCATCCTGCCTGTGTAGGGGATGCAGTGTTCCTGCTCTGAGCACCACCCCCATGCATCCCGTTTACCATCTGTTCTTGACCATCCTCTTCACTCATTGTAACAGTCTTCTCCAGTTACTGAAACTCCATGAGTGGCAGCCTCTGTCCATTGCCAGAGAGATCAATTCCTCCTCTTCCCTCCTTTCAAGGGGAACACATCAGAGACAGGGAATAACAGCATCAGCAGCCAACACTATGGGAAGCATCAAGCACTTCCCTGAAAGCTTTGCACGCATCTCACTCAGTCCTCTCATGATGTTTGAGGCAGCCGCTATTGTTACCATACCCATTTCACAGATGAAGGGAATAACAGCAGGTACCCACCAAGTCACCGGATTCAAAATGGGATGTTGGGTGTAATGGATGTGGAGTTAGGCAGCAACATGATGGATGTCCTACTTCATGGACCAGCAAAGCTTTTCCATAAATGGTCATGCAGGAAATATTTTAGGCTCTGGGGCCATACAGTCTCCATCGCCATAACTCAGCTCTGCAGTAGTAGCGCAAAAGTAGCCGCAGACCATATGTAAGCAAATGGGTGGGACTAGGTTCTCATACCACTTGACTGATGGTCATTAAAATTTGAATTTCATTTATTTTTCAAATGTCACAAAATATTTTTATCTTGATTTTTATCACCTAGGTGGCATAGTGCCTAAGGCATTTGACTGCTAACCAGAAGGCTGGTGGTTCAAACCCACCAGCCACTCCACAGAAGGAAGACTGGGCAATCTACTTCCATAGAGATACAACCTCAGAAACCCAAGGAGGGGTTGCTATGAGTCACATTGACTCAATGGCAGTGAGTTTAGTTTTGGTTTTATTTAAAAATTTAAAAAAGAAAAGAAAAAGCATTCTGAGCTCACAGGCTCTATATACAAGCACAGGTGGGAGCCAGGTTCGGCCCACAGCCTGTGTAGTTTGCCAACCCTCTCTCTGTTTTGTTGCTTGCTGTACTAGTCCTCTCTCTTTTTCCCGAAAACTTAGCTTGCATACAGGTTGGGAAGTTTCTTAATCGGGATACTGATTTTAATTTTAATTTTTTATTTTTGGTTGCTACAGGAAAGCAAAGCCCAAAGAAAATACGATTTACCTTCAGGTCCGGACATCAGAATCCTTTGGCTCCTAAGACAAACATTTGCCTGGGGACTGGCCGGCAGAGAGATGAGTGTGGAGCAGTCATCAGAAGTGGTTCTGGAAGCCCTTATGTCCACACACTTCCTTATATCAATCCTAAAGGATGTGTGAGTGGGCTTTGTTTTATTTTGTTTGCTTTCTCTTAAGTCTGCCAGAGCCCTGCCTATCTTTGATAGCCTTATCCTTTCTAATGGAAACTGTTGGTGGTGATCAAGTACTTAATTATCTACAGCGTTTTGAAGACCCAACAGAATTCAAATGTTGCACAATAAAGAGTTCTCTGCAACTGGTTTTCTAGGATAAGTATTGTTTTCCTCACTATCTGAAAGAAAATACCTTTGTATTTGTAGGTATCTGTGTTGCCAAAAGAATTTTCACAGAGAGTTATTTCTCTGAGGGCACTTGGTGTTGAAGCCTGGCTGCTCTTTGGACCAGTTGCCATCACGCTGATGAAGACTCATGGTGGCCTCATGTGTGTTAGATTGACTCACAGTGGCCTCATGTGTATCAGATTAGAATTGTGCTCCGTGAAGTTCTCAGTGGCTGATTTTGGGGAAGGAGACTGCCAGGACTTTCTTCCAAGGCACTCCTAGGTAGACTTGAACCCCAGCCTCCTGGTTGGCAGCTGAGCCTCATTCAAACACCAGAGAAGCATTATTATCACTGTAGGGAGGACGTTTTCTGCCACCTATGAATATTTTATTCTATTTCACTAACGGTTTGGGTCTTGTTGGTGATTCTAGAAGGTGAGCTAATATGCCAACTATGAAATATCACAGGAAATACATCAAGAGGAGTGCAATTTGCTATGACTTAATGTCCTTCTTGAACCCTCTGCAGTGATTAATTCCTAGACTCCACACAATTTTTAGTAAAATAATGTCTTTACCTGGGAGGCAAACCATAAAGGCAGCCTGATAGCAAGGCTTCCGAGTATACCGAGAACCAAGTTTCTAAAGCTCATTAGAGGCCCGATGAAATATATGTGGTTGTATGATACACATTTTTGGAATGAGTTAAGGGAGTTCAGGGCTGATCACGGAAAAAAGATGTGACCATGAGATCAGAGGGTTGCCCAACCAACTGTGTACTGGGTCCCCTGTAGTAACAGCTGCATGCAGGGGGTGGTCCCACAGCAGGATTCTGCCAGAGGGGAGAAGGAGGGAGATGGCCCACACTTGCCTTTGAGTTGTTCTTCAGCAAGTGGGGAGGAGTCTCTGGGTCAGAGGGCACCAAAGACAGACACAGCTGGGGATCCCACTAACTACAGGGTTTGATCTTACCCAGAGGGGTCATGTTGTCAGAAGTGAGAAAGATGTCATGCCTGGTGAAGTAGAGGATCAGTGACAAAGGGAAGACCCTCGTTGAGATGTATCAACATGGCACATGGCTGCAACGATGGGCTCAAGCTTAGCAAGGAACGTGAGGATGGTGTAGGCCAGGCAGTGTTTCGTTCTGCTGTACACGGGGTCACTGTGAGTTGGAGTCGACTCCTGACAATAGCAGTTGCATCAGGGGTACAGGCTCCTTGTGTGATGCAAACGGGAAATGTGTTGGGCTGCTGACTGAAAGGAGGGAGGTTCCAATTCACCCAGACAGGCCTTGGAAGAAAGACCTGGTGGGCTACTTCTGAAAAATCAGCCTTCAAGAGCCCTGTGAAGCGTGGCTCTACTCTGACACACATGGGATGGCCGAGTCAAAACGGACTGGATGGCAATTGGCTGTTGTTGGTTGTAGGGCTTGAAGATACTGGGTGTGGTTTTGTGACATGTGTAAAGCAGGCTCTAAGTGGCTAATCTTCTTTAGCCTGTTTTAGAAGCAATGGGATGTGTACAAGTTTGAGTTTGGAGCTGGCGAGCCTTTATTGGGCTATAGGACTCAGCATATTATGAAAAAGTAAACACCCTGGGGCCAATAGTCAGAGGCTGTCTTTGGTTCATTTACAGAGCACTGCTGTTGTTGTTGGGAGCTCTGGTAGCATAGTGGCTAAGACACTTGCCTGCTAACCAGACGGTTGGCGGTTCAAACCCACCAGCCACTCCTCGGAAGGAAGGTTGGGCAATCCTACTTCCGTAGTGACACTGCCTCGGAAACCCAAGGAGGG